ACCCGTGGGTCACCAAAGAGCTTACAAATATTCTTAATATGAAGAAAAGAGTATTTTTATCAGGGTCCAATGAGGAGAAAAAAATGATCAATAAGGAGGTTAAAAGAACAATCAGATGTGCTAAATTAAACTACAAAAACAAAATAGAAAATAATTTTGTTCAAGGTGATATGAGGGCTGTCTGGCATGGGATTAAGAACATGGCGGATATTAGTATACCAAAGCAAGGAACGGTGGTAAATAAGGACGTTGATGGTAATCTATTGGTCAATGACCTGAATTTGTTTTTTACACGTTTTGAGAAGCATGATACAAGTGCTGTTCTTGATGATTTTAAACAAAAACTGAGCCCCTCTACCTCTTTGAATTTGCATCTTTTTAATGTAATGAAGCAGCTGAAAGCTACACCTGTTAACAAAGCGCCTGGTCCAGATGTTATCTGTGGGAGAACACTTAAACACTGTGCAGAGCAGCTCAGTGTTGTGTTTCACTCACTGTTTCAGGCATCCCTGGATCAGGCTGTAGTTCCTTGCTTATGGAAAACCTCTAACATAATACCTATTCCTAAGCGAGAGAAGTCACATTCTTTTAACGAATTTCGGCCCATTGCATTAACTTCTTTAGCTATGACAGCCTTAGAGAGGGAAGTTAAGTCACAACTTATCACGGTTACGGGTCATAAGTTAGATTCTTTGCAGTTTGCATATCGCACTAAAAGAGGTGTGGATGATGCAAAGCTTTTGCTCTTAAATACCATACATCAACATTTAGAGAATAGAGGCACATTTGCTAGAATGCTGTTTGTTGATTTTTCCTCTGCATTCAACACAATGAATCCTATTATTTTAGCGAAGAAACTTGTATGTGAATTTGATGTGAGTCACGACTTAGTTTTATGGATCCTAGATTTTTTGACATGTAGGCAGCAAAGAGTCATGTTGAATGGAGTGTTGTCGGATACGCTTGTTACATCAATTGGATCTCCTCAGGAGTGCGTACTGTCTTCAATTCTCTTTATACTCTATACAAATTAATGTCGCAGCATTAAGGATAACTGTCATGTAGTTAAATATGCTGATGACACAGTTTTTCTATCTTTGTTAACGAGTGCAGAATGTGATGACAGTAATGATCACAACGAGTTCTTTGAGTGGTGCAAAGAAGCTGAACTACAACTGAATATTACTAAAACGAAAGAGATGGTAATTGATTTTAGAAAAAACGCCTCAAAGGTGAAACCTGTGTATTTTAATGGAAAAGAAGTTGAAAGGGTACAGGAGTACAAGTATCTTGGAACTACCTTTGATACTACCTTAAAGTTCCAGCAGAACACAGAGGCCATTATTAAGAAAGTGAATCAAAGATTGTACGCTCTTAGGAAATTGAACTCCTTCTGTGTACGTAAAAACATACTGAGAACTTTTTATACTACTTTTATTGAGAGTGTGTTGAGTTTTTCTTTTTTATGCTGGTACTCTTCACTCTCTCTTAGGAATAAGAATCGTTTGCAGACCTTAGTTAGGACTTGCTCAAAAATTATTGGTGTGCCTTTGCGGAGTCTAGCAGAATTCTACGAGCAACAAATTTTACGGAAAACTCTTAGTATTACGGGAGATGACTCTCACCCCTTGAAGCTTTACTTTGAGGTATTGCCCTCTGGAAGAAGATTCAGAAGCATTAAATGTTCATCTAATAGATATAAATTCACTTTTGTTCCAGAGGCTATACGTTTTTACAATTCAGTCTTAGTTTTTTTTTTTGTTGTTGTTGTATGGAATTTATTATGAAGCATGTTGGGTTGTGGTTTTATTTATTTATTTCTTTGTATTGTCTAGGTAATATCTTATGTTTGTATTAAGTTGTTGTGTGATGCTACTACCCTACTTTAATTGCCCCTTGTGGGATTAATAAAGTTGTTAACTTAACTTAACTTAACTTACTAACCACAGAGGCAAAAATAATTTCGTTAAAAGGGCTATCTAGGTATTGTTCTCACTGTTGCCATACTGCTTTTTTTGCATACTATTTAGTAGTCTACACGCTAGTCAGGTTTCGAGGGAGGTGACTTCTCAATCTAGAAAGCATTTGATTGGATAAACATATTACATATACATGATCACAGAGTGATCAATATAACATGCACACTGTAAATTTGAAACGCATTTCTTAAAGTGCATTTTGTTATTGTTTAGAGTATACTAGAACATAGATGGCCTCAAGGCTAACAGTTGAATCAACATGAATAAAATCAGACACATTTTCTAAACAAGTCTATTTATTGTTAAACACTTTCATGAGATTTGGTCCACTGTGATAAATATTTCACTTCCAACCAGAGAGAAAAAGGAGAAACAAAACAAACAAATGTAAAAATACAGTACAAAAAGAGGCATCGTTGTTTTTCCTTTTCATTTTTTCAAAACCCTGATTTTTAATGGTTCTCTAAGCAGGTGAAAAATAAACCCAACAGAAACATCTCAACTGATATAATCCAACATTTGCTAAATCCCACATTGTCTTTTCAGGCAGAACATGAATTATGAACATATTTCTGCCTTACACTTAGTCTAGAAAGTGTGCAACTCAAAGGTCATTTTAAAATGGGCAACCTTCCTTCGTTTCGAAGTCCAGAGAGCCCAGAACATTCCAGTTCTGTGATAAAATAAATTCAAATGGAGAATGAGTAAATGACCATTACTGCAGCCTCCAGAGTGTCAATGGCCAGCAGTACTAACCCTTTGATATGAATATGAATGATTGCAAACTCCATACCATGTTTGAACAACAGAGACTGTTAACTGAGCTTCTCTGCTCTCAGGTTGTGTTCTCTCTCAGCGGTTATGCACACTACCTCAGCTCTACCATCTCAGCATGATCACGTTCCTCAGAAAATTTCAGAGGAGTTATGTGCAAAACCAGTCTCCATTGCAAATCCAGAGAACATTAACGATACACTTCCCTCCCCTATTTCTTTAAACAAGTTGTCTAACGGTGTGTATATATCATTATACTGAAAGAACAGGATTATTTGTTAAGGTATTTATAATTGTATATAAATGTATAAGGCGCTATGCAGACAAACATAAATATCCATGTATGCTTTGTGTCCCGTCACAGTATAGCGCTGTGAGGATCGAATCAAAACAATCAAGAGCGTGGTGCAGAGGAAAGTTGCTAAGGCATGATGTCTTTTTTTCACTACAACCACTCTATAAACCCTCCTAAAAGAGATCCCAGGTTTCAGAAAACTGACAGCAACTAAAACACATCACAAAAGCATGACACTCTAAATGTTAATGGTGTCACTTGCTTTTCATTGTTTAGGTTGAAAGAAAACAGACAGATAACTACCCTAGGATCTCAATTCCTCTATTCTGGACAGCTCACTAAGCATACATAGACATAATTCACTGTTAAGTATTATATTCATACATGGATACATATATTTAAAGTGTTATACATAGCAATTAACATATACATATATCAATAGCATATAGGAAGATAGAAGTAGTCATAATGGCAATCATTATCATCGCTGTCATCATCATAATAATAGCAGTAGTAATAATATGATCCCTCGGTAAAGCGTACTAGGTCACTCCAGAACGTACCTCTCAATCTCCACACAAACTGGAATCTGTTACCAGGCCAAATCTGCTCCTTCACGTGTCATTTAAACCCTGAAATTCAATGCAAAGTACAAAAGTGATTCTATTATCTATAACAAACCAATCTCAGGGTGCTTCAATTACCATTCTATAGCATTTATAGGCAGTTTGGGGCAGCAAATTCTCATGTAGACCTCACAAATCGGACACTTCTGGAATGACTCGTAAGAAAAAAAAAAACACTAACCATCTAATCAGCAATACATGTCATATAGCATAGCTCAATAACAAGAAATTCTATGTAATCAATACAAGGTAAGGTTATACTTAATTAAGCTTAACTGCCAAGTTATCAATTATCATTAGTAGTATGCCAATATAGTAGATATATAAGTGTGTGCATGTGTGTGTGTTTTTGTGTATATTTATATATATATATATATATATATATATATATATATTATGTACACAGAAACGTTTATTTTGGATGTGATGTGATTTGTTATTGTCCAGCACTAAATACAATCTTTTAATAGCTTGTGATACTGTGATAACTGTTTCTCTTTCTTTAGTTCTATAACATGAGAGTATGTCACAAAATGATTACTTCCTCATAACTGTAGGCTGTGTTGAAATAGGAAAAGAGCCATGTACTTTAACTGCTCGTAAAATAATCCAAATACACCTCCGTTAGCTGGAAAGAGAGTAGAAAATTGACATTTTATGGTTTTCTCTGCAGCCTCGAATAGTGGATGGTTTCCATTTTACAGGCAGGTGGGCATCCTCACCACAGG